TTCCTCTGCCCGTCGTCCTTTTCCCTGCTTATCTGGAGAGACCAGCATTTTCTTCTTTTCGGCCTCCAGGTCCGATTTGTACTGAATTATCACAGTTGGGATTTCTCTCCTGTGCTGGAAGCCTGAACTGGCTTCCTTGCCACCCGCCTGCTGGAGGAATAGAGCCCCCTGTTAGTGACCATCTTTGTCATTTGTCTAGCCTTAGGCATGTGCAGGAGAAGGCTGATCAGTTTGCTTTAATTAAGCTTCAGAAGAGAACCCAAGCCTCCATCTGATCTCCTGTTTGCTCCTTAATTCCCTGTCCACGGTCCCTGCTGTATGAAGGTGGGAAACGGAGCCTGTGGTCAGATGGAGGGCGGGACCCTCACGGCCTGGGTGAGCCTTGGCTTGAGAATGAGTTTCTCTGAACTCCCTCCATGGGAACTTCTCTCGACTGTTCTCTGATTTCCACAGGGAGCTAATTGCCAATGACCTTTTTTTAAAAAAATCCTCTTGGGTGTCTCTCAGTGCAGGGAGAAGGGGTGGTGGGGAGGGGGAGCTGTGGCTGACACTGGTGACCCCTCTGTCTCAGAGTGTCTAGCAGGGGGTCAGTTTCAGCAGACCCCGTGGAAAGCCCTCAGTGAGGCCTGGTGAAAATAGGCCCCCCATACTTTTGCAGAATTTTCCTCCTAAAACTAACATGGGGGCCGCAGCAGCAGCTTTTTGTCCCAAGTAATCACCGGAGGGAATTTTTTTTTCAAACCAGCTTCTGTGCTTCTCAGAAGGAACATTTGTAACCATGCATTCTTTCTGTGGCCTTCGATTAATAAACAGGAACCCACCTTTCTAGACCGATGGGGAAACAATTTTTTTTCTGTTTGCTGCTCCTGTGTGTAGGGTGCATGAATGGGGGCTTTGAGAGCTTGCCCTTTCGTGGCCAGATATCAAAGTGCTGCTCACACATACAGATTGACCGCCTCAAGGTGCGGCCGGGCCGCTGCCCGCGGGGCCGCCCACTGCGCTTCCACGCTGGCCGCCTGGACGGGCCGCAGGGCCAGACTGGTGATGACCCAGTTTTCTTCCCTGGGATGAGCGCCGACCCACCAGGAAGAAGAGGGAGACCACCAGCAGCCATTCTCCACCGAGTCTGAAAATAACCGTATTTACATTGACTTGTACGGGCTCTTTTTTGTGGCCTTCCTCTCCCATTCATATCCCTCTGGGAAGGGAAAGTTCATTTTTAAAGATTTTCTGGCCTCATGTTCTTCCCTTTTTTTTTCCCTCCTCTCCTCTCTCCTCCTATCTTCCCTCCCCTCCTTTCCCCTCCCCTCCGCTTCTCTCCCCCCTCCTCTCCCCTTCTGTTCTCTATTCCCTCCTCTCTCCTGTCCCTTCCCCTGCCCTGCCCATCTTTCTCCTCTGCCCTCCCCTTTTCTCTCCCCTCCTCTTCCCTTCCCTCCTCTTTTCCCCTTCTCCGTCCCTTCCTCTTTCTCCTCCCCTCCCCTCCTCTCTCCCCTCCCTTTCTCCCTCCCCTCTGCATCCTCCCCTTCTCTCTCCCCCCTTCCCCTCCTCTCTGTCCCCTCTCCTTTCTCCCCCTCCTCTCCTCTCCCCTCCCCTCCACTCCCCTCCTCTCCTCTCCCCTCCCCTCCTCTCCTCTCCCCTCCCCTCCTCTCCTCTCCCCTCCTCTGATCTTCCCTTCCCTCCTCTCCTCTCCCTTCGCTTCCCCTGCCCTCCCCTTCCCTCCTCTCCTCTCCCCTCCTTTCTCCCTTCTTTTGTCCTCCCTTCCCCGGGTTCTCTGTATCTGCCCTTCTCTGTTGTCCTTGGATACTGTGTCCTTTCTCTCCTACATCACAGATGCGATTCTCCAAGAGTCTTCTTCCTTGTGCTGCCTCATGCACTGAGCTGTGACAGTTTTGCTGGGACTTCAGGGAAAGAGAGCAGACAGCATCGGGCTGGGGAGTAGAGATCACAGCCAGGTCCCTCCAGACCTAAAGGGATGTGAAGGGCTGGGACTCTGTCTAGGGTTCCTGAAGCCCGAGATTGGGCTGGTGAAGGTGTGAGTGACAGCCAGGAAGATAAAGGACAGCAGCGTAGTAACCGGAAGTGCACATCCTGAGCATTTTGCTAGTACTGGGTCCTCTGGAGGCCTCTGCTGCCTGGGAAAAGCACCTCCTGACCTTTGGCTTCAATTTGATTATGCTGGGAACCAGCTTCAGAGTGCCTGGAAGCAGCAGCACTGTCCAGGCCGGTTGACTCGGAGAGGGATGAAGAGGCAGGAGTGCCCGCATTCTGTTCTCTCCTCCTCCCTCGTCTTTTCCCCCCAGTCCCCCCACCCCTGTTCAGAAGATAGAGTTGTGGTCATCTGGGCTAAAACCTTGACAGGCTAAAAGTAACACTTGCTCTGCCATAGTCTTCCAGGGCGTCTCGAGAAGGGCTTTGCAGAGGTGAGGGGTGAGGAGACTCTCAGGCATAGTCAGGGCGGGGTCTGTGGCAAGAGAGGGGCTTAGGCTGTCTTTGCTGTGATTCACGCTGTTGGTCTGAGGTGAGGCAGCTCAAGGGGCTCTCACCATGACATCTGCCGCTGGGATCGAATGAGGTGGGACCTTTGGGTCTCCTGTCCCCACATGAGTTGGCAGACAAGGATTGTGGGATGGATCTTCATAGGGAAGAGATGCTGAGTGGCAGGATGGGAAGTTTTAGGAAAGGGTGGAGGGATTTGTACTCAGCTCTCTTGCACTCCCGCCCCCAGAGCGCTCAGAGGCCTCTGGGAGACACGCTGTGGGTGCGGTGGGAGCCCTCCAGCTCATGCTATAGACGAACACAATGAGGCTCCCAGTTGCAGCATGACTTGCACCTTCAGAGTGTCAGTGGCCCCCAAGCTGTGCTTTCCCAACTGCACCCCCCCACCCTCGTGCCCTTGCAGAGGAAGAAATGTGGGTGGGCCTGCAGTGCTGGTTGTGATTCTTAGCAGCCCTGAGGGTTGTCCAGGGGATATCACCTGCCCGAATCTCACATGATTCTTACCTCTCTTCATAGGGACAATGTCAACGGGAAATGAGAGGAAATGACGGGAGTGTACACTGGTTGCAGCAGGGCTGCTGCGAATGGCTAGAGGCTTAAACCTCCTTTCGGAAACATATGCTGTTTCTCAAAGCTTCCATGCTGAGGGTGCCCTGTGGGAATACCCCACCCTGTCCTTGGCTCGGCCTGGACAGTCTTCCTTCTCCTCCCTGATGCTCTCAGGCATCACCAACACTCTCAGGAAGCAAGAAGACCCCCCTCTCCTTCCCCTGATTTGAAGGAAACAACATTGGCCCATGGACACATGTCTGAGCCACAGGGCAGTTTGGAGACTTCTTGATAAGGGCCCTGTCCCATGGACCACCAAGCTGAATCCCCAGGGAGCCAGGAGGTGAGAGTCAATTACTGAGGGGCTTGAAAGGAGTGAGAGCAGGTCCAAGAAAGCAGGCAGCAGGAGGGGAAGGGCTGCAATTAAGTAGTCACAAGCCAAGGTGCTGGGTCTATAGTTTTTAGTCTTTGAAATATTTTTGTTGTGCTAAGGCAGGTGCTGCTGGGGGTGAACAACTGAGGAGTGTGGGTTTTTACGAGGGGCCTTAATGTGAGAAGAGTAGCTTTGGATATCTCTTTGTTAGTCCGTGGCTGAAACACCCCAGAGTAAAGTTTCAGAGCAGAGCAAGTCCTCTACTGTCAAAGGGACAGTAGAAGGTTCTGGAAGATAAGGCCTATTCTGCTTTTCTGGCTTGAAGGAGGGAAGAGGTGCTGGTCTCTGTGAAGCGGCGGCCTGCCCAGGATCCTGTGCTGGGCACTGTTTGTAATTCCAGAGTGGAGCCAACCTTGGAGGAGCTGGCATCTCCTATAGGATTGGTCAAGGGGATGTTTGCCTCGCCTCTCAAAATATTCCTTAGAAAAGGGGAGTCTCAAGTAAATTTGGAAAACTCTACGCTCTGCCTCTCTCTCTCGGATGTCTATCATGCTCCTTATCATGTTAAGGCCCTCCGAATTCCTGTGGGAAGGAAACCATTTAACTTTGTTCAGCTCAGAACATTCTAACCTTACTCTATCATGGAACGGAATTTACATACAGCCTAGGAAACAACTCCTAGGAAACCCCCTTTTAAAAGTCAAATATGTCTCTGGTTTGGTTTTTGTTTCTGCAGGGGTGAGTAAAATACTTAGGGAGGGGCCATGTTACTGTTTAAGACACAGTCCCTACTCTCCTCTTGTTGAAGAGGCAACACGCAGCTCCCCACACCCCAGGATAACCAACCAGCCTTGAGAGGAAGGTATGGGGAGAGATTGATCCAAAATGTCAGCAAGACAAGAGAAGGAAGTTCTAGTGTTCTGTACCACTGTAGTTAACAATCATACAGTTTCAAACAGCTAGGAGGAGGATATTGAATATTCCCAACACACAGAAGTGGTAAATATTTGGGAAGATGGATATGCTAATTGCTGTGATCTGGTCAATATACATTGTACATCACCATGTGCCCCACGAATGTATATAATTATTGTGTATCAATTAAAAAATAAAATTAAGGCCCAGCGCAGTGGCTCACACCTGTAATCCCAGCACTTTGGAAGTCCAAGGCTGGTGGATCACGAGGTCAGGAGGTCAAGACCATCCTGGCTAACATGGTGAAACCCCATCTCTCCTAAAAATACAAAAATTAGCTGGGTGTGATGGCGGGCACCTGTAGTCCCAGCTACTCGGGAGGCTGAGGCAGGAGAATTGCTTGAACCCGGGAGACAGAGGTTGCAGTGAGCTGAGATCGCACCACCGCACTCCAGCCTGGCGACAGAGTGAGACTCCATATTAAACAAACAAACAAAAAATTAAATTTAAAAAAGAAGAGAGTAGGTTGCTGGGAGTAAGGAGCTGGGGCAGGCTGAGGCTGGGAGTGGAGACCAGCAGGAAAAGAGGGAAAAAGAGTGAACGCTGGGGCTGGGGAGAAGCCCTTGAGGAAGCGTAAGGAAGGAATGAGAGACAAAGAGGACCCAGGGTGCTTGCTTTGGCAGCACATATACTAAAATTGGATGGATACAGAGAAGATTAGTATGGTCTTTATGCAAGAATGACATGCAAATGTGTGAAGCCTTCCATCATTTTTAGTGGGGCAGGGGGGGTGGGGAAAATGAGGATGGTTAATGGGTACCAAAAGAAAAAATAGAAAGAATGAATAAGACCTGGTATTTGATAGCACAACAGGGTGACTACAGTCAATAATAATTTAATTGTACATTTAAAAATCACTAAAATTACATGATTGGATTGCATGTGACACAAAGGATAAATGTGTGTGGGGGGGTACCCCATTTCCCATGACATGAGTATTATGTATCACATTCTTCTATCAAAGTATTTCATGTAACCCATAAATATACATACCTACTATGTACACACAAAAGTGAAAGATTACAAATTAGAAAAAAAAAAAAAAAAAAGAGCTCAGGGGCTGGAAGAAGGCTGCCTGGCTCTGTCTCCAGGCTCAGGCCCACATTAGCCCTCCCTCACTGGGTTCTTCTAGTCTATGGGGAGCAGAGAAGTGGGGCCCTGAGTGAGAATTCTCGGGTGAGGGTGGTGTGGGGGTGGCAGTAGCTGTCTGGTCCCCGTGCAGGGCCAGACAGTGAAGGGTCAGTGCTCCCTCCTCCTTTGGGGACACTCTGTTCCTTGCAGTGATGCCAGGGAGGTGCGGGAGGGGGGGTTCTCTCGTCTGTCCAGGGTCCATTAGAGGACAGAGGGCAGAGGGAATGTGACTCTGGACCCGAATTTGTAACTGGCTGAAGTCTGGCTGCTTTTGCCGCTCAGAGGTGAAAAACAGAAGAGAGCTGTGGAGAAAGGAAAGCAGCTTGATTAAAATGCTGGTAGTTGGGGTACGGCCAGGCTCATGCCTTTGGAAGATCATTCCAACGTTTTAGGCTGAGGGAAGGGTTTTAGGAAGGAAAAGGTGTGGGAAATAGGTGGGAGTAGTAAAAAAGGGGTGCAGGTCTGCGTGTCTGTTCCGTGGCCATCTCAGTAATAGCTTGTGGGGAGATCTGATTCGCATTAACCTGACTTCAGCCCTGCAGTGGTGGGCTCGATGTTCCTAACTCTTCTTGAGTGTGGATTCTGCAGCTAGGGTCTCTCTGCCTGGTTTGTTTCAAAGTTGGCCCCTGGAATTTCTAATCAAGCTCATCATTACACAAAGAAGCACAGTTCATGGAAGTGCCTGGTGGGAAAGGGAGAAGCAAAGAGTTTTAAAGTCTGCTTCGAGGCTGAAAGCAAGAAAGGGAAAAAAAATTGTGTAAATGCATCTTGAGGCTGAGATGCTGGGTTACAAACAATTCATCACCTGGGGGCCTATCTTATGCTCACAATCTCCATGGCCTCAGGATGGGCATGGGGCCGGAGAGTGAGGGCCAGTGTGCATCCCTGATGTGGGATGCATTTCCATGAACCCAAGGGAGGATGTGACACATGCAGGCGTGCCCAGCCACCAGGCAGCACCTGTTTAGGGACACAGCTGCAGCCAGGACAAGGGACATTCTTGGCTGCCGCCTCATGGCCACGGCAGCAGCTGTCTGGGTGTTTTCCCACATTTCGGGTATGATGCTGATTGATTTTGGGAAGTGCTGGGGGGAAGAGCCACCCAGGGCCTCCTGTGCTCCGTGGTCAGCCAGGCTCTGTGCTGTCACCATCACCAGGCCTCGACCCATATCAGACTCGGTTTCAGGGGCCCTCACTCAGTAACCAGTTTTGGCGATTGGTCCAAGAGGCAGAGCAAATTTTAGGGCCAGGTGCTCAAAGTCAAATTTATTACAATTTATGAACGTGTGTATGAGGTTAGAAAGAGGAGGTGCAGGTAGGGAGCAAAAGCAAGGGAGAGGAAGGGAGGAGAGACAAGGAGATACCCAGGTGGGCAAGGGCCCACCCCAGCCAACTGACTTCCTTTCTCATCATACAGATTAAGAGGGAGCAAGTTTTGGCTGCATTAGAAAGAGAAAAAAGAAGAGAGAAGTAGAAGAATAATTTTTTTAAAAGGTGAAGAAAGCAGGCCAAGAAATTACTTAAAGGCTTTCTGAAGGCCTCATAGCTCGTGGTACTTGTTCCAAGTTACATAAGACACAGGGGAAGAGTTACAGCAAACATATGACAACTAAGCAGAATTCCACTCTATAATAATATTTTTTTTCTCATATAACTTCTTTAATCCAAGGATCTTAAAACACTTCACACATTTGCAACAATTAAACCTCATTGCATAGCTGTGGGAAAGAGTGTTGTTTTGCTCATTTTATGTGTAAGTGAGCTACAGCACACAGCGTTTGAAAGAAAATGTTTTCAGAGCCCACCAGTGAAAGTGGCTTGGGTCTGGGTCTCACAGAAAGCCTGGGCTCCAACCCGATCCCCCGTCCAGGAACCTCCTCTTCAGGAGGTTCTCTGGGGAAGCCTTTCCCAGTGACACCTCACAGGCAGACAGCAGATGGTAGAAAATGGCCGACTGGGAAAAGGAAAGGCTCTGCTGGCTTGCAACAAATAAATAAGCAAATGCACAAATAAAAAATAAAAAAGATAGGATAAAATATAATATGCAATAAACATTTTTAAATAAAAATTTAAAAATTACAGTTCACTACAATTTTATTCCTCTTTGCCTCATTTTGTTCTCCTTTTGCCATTATATGTAAGTGAAAAAACAGCCATTCAGAATGTTTTTTTTTTTCCCCATAATGAGAAGAAGACTGAGGAGCTGTCCTTTTCAGGGGTGGTGAGACCATGGGCCTGTGTGTGTGCCAGAGGCTGGGGAAGTGGGGGAAAGAGGAGAAAGGCCTGTGAAGAAGAGGACGGTTACATTCCTTATCTCAGCTGAAGGGACCCTGGAAAATATTGATCTCACTTCTCCTTCGGAATGTTAGGAAGTATGAGAGCTCTGTTGTGGCCTCAGGAACCAGGTCTGGCAGGTGGTACAGCGTGGCAGGGGCAGGCTGGCATCTACAGTGGGGAGAGGGGATAGTGTGACCCCAGCCCAGCCAGGGCCAGCAGCACAGCCCACCTGCCCCACCACCTCCATCCGTTGCTTGCAGAGTTGACATCAGCACACAGGAAAGGCTGAGAGGAGAAACAGGGCCTCTCTCCTCAGCAAGCTTTTCCTTCAAGTTGAGATTTTCCTTCCCAAGTTATGCTTTCCACAACGAAGGCTGCTTGACCCCTCCTGAGGGTCTTGGGCTACAAGGAGATGAAGGGCCTGAGGGATTGGAGGTGCTCTGTCCTATTTTCCTCAATGCCTGCAACTCACTTGATGTCTTCACCCCTCAGTTTCTGCATTTGAAAGACAGGAATAAAGATATTCACCTCTCAACTCTCAAGGACATTATGAAGGCTACGCTATATGTATTTATGTATTTATTTATTTTTTAGACGGCATCTTGCTGTATTGTCCAGACTGGAGTGCAGTGGCATGATCTCCGCTCATCGCAACCTCTGCCTCCCACCTCAGCCTCCTGATAGCTGGGATTACAAGCGCTCACCACCCCGCCCACCTAATTTTTTTGTATTTTTAGTAGAGATGGGATTTCACCATGTTGGTCAGGCTGGTCTCGAACTCCTGACCTCAGGTGATTAGACTTCCTCGGGCTTTCAAAGTGCTGGGATTACAGGCATAAGTCTATACTATATTTATAAAAGACTTTTATCTTCTTTGGCCCAAAGAGCTGAAACTAGTGCATCCCAAAGATGGTGATACCAATTCCTTGCTATTTCATTGTATCTAACATTTTGCAAAATGCTTCCCCAAATCTGCTCCCATTGACCCAGGTTGAGGCCAGGCTTCACAGATATTTAACAGTCTCATGGTAGCATTCCATTTGTTTTAATTCAAAGATCTGTGGAAGGATATCATTGATTTTCATTGAACTTCTCCCCCAAACTCTTAGGGGTAATTCTAAACTATCACTAGAAGAAACTGATTGTGGATGGACTCCAGTGGCCAGGATAGCCAATTTTGGTAGTCAGAACTTGCACATAAGATGGTAATGAATCTACTTTGAGTACTTCAGATAAGTTGTCGACATCAATAAAATTGCACAGACAGTTCTACCTACCCGCCAGCCCAGTTCACCTGGACCTCTCAGGGGCTGTGTTAGGTTCTCATCTTGTCATTGTGAATCTGAGCAATGCTTCTTTCTTCTCCATTGTTCTCCTCATCACCCCCTCCTCCTATTTTCTAAATGCCCAAAGTATAAAAAGCACTGGAATCATACAAGAGAGCTTAATTTTGAAAGGAGGTGGGCTGCATAAATAGGGATCTTTGTGTAGTTCTGGAGCATATTACTATTCTGATCAAGTTTGTTGTAAATATATTTCCCTTATCTCCTCTAACGTGGGGATAGTACAGAGGGAGAATCAGGGAGAGGGAGGGGGCCTTCGGGATTTTTGCCCAGGGTTACTCAGCAGGGAGATGCTTCTCCTGATGTTCCAGAAGGGAGGGGAGGCCACTGTGAGCTCCACCATGTGCCCCAGTGTATCATGTTGACTCATGGCCAGATCTTGAGAAAAACTCCTGGCAAATACTGGCGGAAATTCCTGGCAAATGCTCTCACCTCACCCTCTGCTAACCCTGCAGGGAGGGCATAGGTAGGGTGGGATCGTTTTCAAAATGGAAAACGATTTGGGAGGACATTTTCAAAAAGGAAAAATCAAAGCATGTCTGTAGCTTCTGCATGCCTGTGGCGGGGCGAGAGTCCTAACAGGCCTGGCTGAAGACGAAGCCCCAGTGACCAGGGACAGCCAGCACTGGTCTGTTTCTTCATTCTAGATTTTTATTTTTGCAGAAGTCTTCCCCCGTCTCCTTGGCATTGGTTCCCCATGGGGAGTAGCATCTTTTTGAGCAAAGCCAAATGACCAAGGCGCCCCCACCCTCTTCAATGGACAGGGCCAAATTTAGAGTCGGGGTTGCTCATTTAAGCTTTGTATGTAATTGAGCCTGGCGCAAAGAGTTATCATTAGGAGGAATGGCATGAAATGAAGGAAAGGAAAAGCTCAGGCCCAAATTAGAAAAGATGTCCTGAGAGAGACACAGTGGCAAGGCCAGGAGTGCTGGTCTCAGAGGAATTCTTAGGAGAAAGGACTGGGTGTAAAAGTGCCTGGATGGGACAATTAGGGAACTGAATATGGCCCTGCCATCTCTTGGGATTATTTGCTTCTAAGTGCAAGGGGGTCAGTGGTAAGAGGTGGCAACAGACACCAGAGGCATCAGTCGTTAAGAGCCAGGGTCTGCTCCCAGGGCTGCATGCAACACCGAGAGAAACAGGATTATCCTCTTCCCAGATGTTTACCAAGTGTGGTCAGGTCTGGACAATGTTGCTTTATTTCCCAAGCAAATGGAAGGTGCTAGAGGATTCTGACCTGGTTCCCCTGCCCTGCCACTGACTTAATGAACATCCTTGTCAGAAACCTTGCTGCCTATTGCTTTGGGGAATGGAGCCATCACCTCCTTCCTCTCCAGATGGGGTGTCCCACTGCTTGGTTGCTCAGTGCGGGTTGGGGGCTTGACAAGGCGACACCGTGGAACAAACCAAGGAGGCTTTTTCTCTGAGGTGCGTGTCCCGGCTGGTGCACATCTGCCACTCTTGGCTCCCCGCAGAGGTCCTGGAGCCTGACGGTGTGAAGAGGGCCCAAGTGAACCCCACACGGCTGGGCGCAGCTTGCCCGTTCACCCGGTAGGATCACTGCTCCTGCCTGCCTGTCCTGGCCACCCCCTGCCCTCCTGTTGACTCACGTGGGAACTGGCAGCAGGGGGCTGCAGCCTTTCCCTCCACTCCTCGCCAGACTGTCTCTGCTCCCCACATTCCTGGTGGTGTCCCGGTTCCATGTGACCCCGGCTTCTAATATTCTTGGGTTCATTCAGGCTACACAGCTGGCCCCACTCTGGGCTTCTTGGCCTCGTTAAAGCCAAAATGCCACGTTTTACTGCCCCGCTCTTTCCATCAAGTTCTTCAAGCAACCCGAGTTTTACAAGCGAGATGACTCTCGGTGAGCTCTTCCTCTGGAGGCAGGGAACCTGGGCTTCAGTAGGGTCTGGACTGGGCCATATCATTGTTATTTTTTTAAATGGTAGGTCTAGAAAATAAAGTTCAAAGGTGAGTGACCCTCCAGGAAGAAGGATTAAGTGGGTTAACTTGGGGGCTGTTCAGCCCTGGAGGCATTGCTGAGGAACGTAATCTATTTTGCGGGTTGCTTTGTGAGCCAAAGGCAGTTATGGTGTAGGAATAGCTTTCTCATGCTGTCTCTCCCTTTCTCCATTCTACAAAAATATTCATGCCAAAGAATATGCAGGTTGTATAAACATCCCTTCAAAAAGCACATGAAGATATTATGTATAGTCACAAATGTCTCCTTCCAAATGGGCGTGTTCCTAGAGAGGCATAGAGATATCTTTCACACCCTATACGTAAAAAACAGCCAATTTAGGAATTGGCAGAGCAGCCTTGCCTAAGTGAGTAGAAAACTTTGGCTCGGGGCTCTCCAAACAATCCCATAAAACCCACGCTTGCTTTTATTGAATGGTGATGCATGAAAGACCAAGGGTGGCCAACTTGAATGAGGGAAGGAGTCAGCGTTCACAGGATCGTCATAAAGGGTGGCAGGAAAGTTTCTTTTCGCTGAAATTCAATCTGTTCCTTGAAAAAAAAGTTGCTTCTAATACTGGATGGCAGGATGTCACTCTCACATTCCCTTCTCCTATAACGTCATTTGAACTCATCGATGTTCAAGATGTTACTTTTACACTTGGCCTTCTTGCCTCCAGCCCATCCATTTCAGCCTCCATGCCACTGGCTGCCAGAGTAATCTTTTTAAAAGGCAAATCAAATCTGTTACTTTCCTAATTAAAACCCTTTGGTGGCTCCCCATTGCCTGCTAAAGTTCAAGTTCTTTGCCTTAGTAGACAAACTCTTTCAACCATCTGTCCTTTTTACTTTTTTTTTTTTTTTTTGAGACGGAGTCTTGCTCTGTTGCCAGGCTGGAGTGCAGTGATGCAATCTTGGCTCACTGCAACCTCCGCCTCCTGGGTTCAAGTGATTCTTCCACCTCAGCTTCCCAAGTAGCTGGGACCACAGGTGTGTGCTCCCACGCCCAGCTAATTTTTGTATTTTTAGGAGAGACAGGGTTTCACCATGCTGGCCAGGATGGTTTCGATCTCTTGCCCTTGTGATCTGCCTGCCTCGGCCCCCCAAAGTGCTAGGATTACAGGTGTGAGCCACTGTGCCTGGTTGTCCTTTTTACATTTTAAGCCATTTCATGAAGTCCCCCAGCCCTGTGTACCCTCCACTCCAGCCATTTCAGATGGCCTTTGAGGCCACGGTCTTCCAGGCCTCATGCATTTGCACACATAGTTTTCTCCACCGGCATATGCCCTAAGGATACGAGTGGGACAGTGGTAGCATCTCCAGGTGCCTCCCTGGTCCCCAGAGCTCAGGAGCAGAGGGTAGTGCTCTGCTGCCACCCTGCTGAGCCCTCCAAGGTGCCAGCTGCAAAGCTCTTTTAAGGGAGTGTTTCCTGAAGTTAGGTTCTAAAGGCCACCCCCTGAGAGCACACCTCTGCGCCCTCCCCTCCATTCATCCCACAAAGGGGGCTGGTGTCTACCAAGCCCCAGGCCAGTCCTGAAAGAGACAGCCCCTGTCCCCAGAGGCTCCCTATAGCCTGGCAGAGGCAAGAAGAAGCAGAAGCAAGCATAAGTTGGAGAAGAGGGGGTAAAAAGGAAAGTCCTACTTTTGTAAAGGGCAAGACAACTTTCTGTGTTCAGAACAAGGGCAACAGGAAGATGACATGGTAGAGTTGGGGTGGTACTTTTAAGTAGGGTGGCCAGAAGAGCACACTTGAGAAGGTGATTTTTAGTGAAGGCTGAAGGAGATGAGGTACGCAGATATCTGAGGGAGGAGCATTTCCGGCAGCGGGAACAGCAAGTGGAAGAGCACTGAGGTGGGAATGTGCCTGGTGCCTTCAAGGAATATTTGGAGCAGGGTAAGCAATAAAGGGGTGAGGTGTCTGGAAGTCTGGGCGAGAACCATGGGGCTCTTGACCCAAACGCTGGCCAGTGTTGCCAGTGGGAATGAGTGACGAGAGACAGCTGCTTGGGTGTGCACGGCTTGGAGGTTGCAACACTTTGCTTATAATGAAGATGAATCTAAAAGTGGTTCTGAAAATGTCAGGCTCTGGACTTTACTTTCTCCCAACCTGTATCCACACAGTGTCAACAAAGCCCTTTTAGTAGAATTTGATACCCTGATGACTGAAAAACCAGACATCTTTGAGGAGGCATTAATGTTTAGTTAGGATCCAGGACTGGGTAAGTAATCCTCATCCTCAGGGGCTGCCTGGGGTGCTGCACCCATACCTGATCTATTAAGTTCTCAACAGCAATTTATTTTATCAGCTCTTCCCATTCCCATTTTATAAACATTTATGGTAATGGCATATGTAGATCTTTCAATTGCTTGGAAAAATTGTGACTTAAGGTGTCATACTTCTACCTTACCTTTTGATTGTGGTAAAGTATACAGAACATGAAATTTACTATTTTAACCATTGCTAAGTATACAGCTCTGTGCCATTAAGTACATTCACACCGTTAGGCAATCACCATATCCTTCTCCAGAACTTCATCCTCCCCAGCAGAAGCTCTGTATCCTTTAAGCACTAACTCCCCCTCATTTTACTTTCTGTCTGTATGAATTTGATCACTCCAGGAACATCATACAAAGGAAATCATACGATACCTTGCGGACTGGCTTTTGTGGCTGCTTATTTCACTTGGCATAGGTCTCCAAGTTTATCCATGTTGTAGCATATATCAAAATTTCCTTCCTTTCTAAAGCTGAACAATATTCCATTGTGTGCTTGTGCCATACTTTATTTTTTCATTCATCGATGGTCATTTGGGTTGCTTCCACGTTTTGACTCTCGTGATAATGCTGCTATGAACATGGGTGTACAGGTATCTGCAATCACTTCCTTCTCGCCCCTTCTTTAAGGGCACTCTTAGAGCAGAAGCACTGCTTGGTGGCTTGAATCCATCCGGATGGCTGCCCTTCTCCCTTCTCCTGGCTTGGCTTGATTAACGCAGTGGATGATGAAGGCTGTTTCTGATGAGCTCAACCCTCGGCTGCCAGAAAATTAGGCTCTGAATGATCTGTACAGAAGTAAATAGGTGATGACTTTTCTAATGTCACTCCTTGGGAAATCGCTAACACTGCGGGAAACAGAGACTAGGGAGTTCTTCAGGGCGGGGCCTTCTCATCCTCAGATGGGGGCCCCTCAGGGCTTGAGGCTACAGAAGACAGGTGGTATTCTGCCTAGGAGAGTCAGAAGGCACATCCCAGCCAGGGCTCCTGGACATATCTTTGGAGGTTCCGGCCTGTTGGTTGTAGCAGAGCCTGGATGAAGCCAAGGCCACGGCTTCAGCTGCCCCTGGACCAACCCACTCCACTCAATGGCTATAGGCTGCATTGCTACTCTCAGGCAGCTGACCTAAACAGCACTTGGACTTGAACAAAACAAAATGAAATTTGCAAAATAAATTTATATTTTAAAAATTGCATGCTTTCAAAATAGAATATGCCCAAATATGAGAGAGGATGAAATGAACTGAACAAACACGGGTGTTGGAATCAGCCAGATACAGATTAAGACATGAATCTTATCAGCCATGGGGTTGGTCCAAGCCATCCAAATTCTGTGAGCTGCAGCTTCCTCATTTACAAGTGAATACAGGGTCATTAAATGAAAAACAAACAAAC